AATTTTTGTGTGATGACGTCTGTGGCGGTTTCGCGATCGTTGCGATCTGATGGAAGACTATCGTACCTTTTATCTACTGTAAAAAATTAGATACCTGTCCTACTTCGATTTACATATCCTTCTACTTTTCCATAAGCGCTGTACCTTGCATTTATAAAAAAAACTTTGGTTAATAAACAGATGTGAATGAAACAACGACCTAACAAAGCCACCAGTCCTTTTTATTCTTCTGAAAAAAGCCAAATTATTTCTAATACATGTAACCTAAATAGTCAGAGGACACACGCGGATGTTCTCATCAGCAGCAAAATAAATTTGTTAAGATAGTAATGTTAGTGAATAACATTAAAACAAAACGAGGATATTTTCTGTTTCGTGTTGTTGGCCATGACTCGATTTACTCAGTTTTTAATCACATTAATTAATCGTCATTCATATTTATGTGACACTGTTGATATGACCTTTAAACTCAAATAATTGTCTATCATTCTTGTCAATAACAATTTTAATGTATACAAAAGAATTATTCAAGCATAGAAATATGGGATGTTGGATTGCTGGATTCAAAATTTTTGCTTCAAGTAATCGATCTCAAGTAAAATACCACAAGCTGGAGTTCTTATGAAGACAAAATATTACATCGATTAGAACTTGCAATATGGTAAAGGTATTGTATTGAGTCAAATTGTTGGGGCATCGGCAGAGCATTGGCAACGTGCTTGCCGCTGCCACGTAGTGATAGAATTTTTGAATATTAGCAAAATTCAAATAGCCGGGAGGATGCGAAGTGAATTATAAAAATAATAAAGGTTCCACTAAAGCCTGGGTAAAACAACGATTCCCAATAAACAAAAACAATTTGAGATGACAATAATTTAGAACAGATATAACAACAAATTGTTTTTTTTTTATAGTAAATACCGATTGACTGGAAATTGAAGCACTAGGAAACAGCTAAGAAGCAATGAATTACAGACATCTGGAGTTCTCAGAAAATTTTTTTGACCGTTTGACATAAAAAAAAAATTTCCGGTAGGTACACTGACGGTAAACGTATGGGAGCTTACTGCCAAACGAGTATTACGACTGGAAATCTTTTCTAGATGGACAGTTGCGAAAATTCAGTATAAAGCAATGTGATATAAAATTTGTAAAACAAGCACAGCGACGCAACATTTCGTCGATGGGAACGAGTTTGCAGTTCGGACGCCAATCATATTTGATATTCTCGTTTGAATTAGATCCAAAAAGCTCAGTACCGGACGAAATAGTACAGTACAACAATACAATTTGAATGTTTGGTTGTATTAAGACTGTTAGTTAATAAATAATACTAAATAGCATTAGTTAAAGTGAATATTGAACAGAAGATTGAGATAAAACCATATTGAAAGATATTTCGAACTTGGAAAATTCCTACATTGACTGGTGGTACGCTACAGAATCCAGACTGCAGTGGACAAAGAATAATTTAGGAACATCTCATTACATTTTTCAAGAGACTGCAATGTACGGGGTGCTGGTGATCCACTAAGAACGCAGGTCGTGCATACGTTTACTTTAGATCAGCGTCGTCCAACCAGTGGCCCGCGGGCCACATTAGATCCAAAAAGCTCAGTACCGGACGAAATAGTACAGTACAACAATACAATTTGAATGTTTGGTTGTATTAAGACTGTTAGTTAATAAATAATACTAAATAGCATTAGTTAAAGTGAATATTGAACAGAAGATTGAGATAAAACCATATTAAAAGATATTTCGAACTTGGAAAATTCCTACATTGACTGGTGGTACGCTACAGAATCCAGACTGCAGTGGACAAAGAATAATTTAGGAACATCTCATTACATTTTTCAAGAGACTGCAATGTACGGGGTGCTGGTGATCCACTAAGAACGCAGGTCGTGCATACGTTTACTTTAGATCAGCGTCGTCCAACCAGTGGCCCGCGGGCCACATGTAGCCCGCGGAAGGTTTCCGAGTGGCCCGCGCGGTATTATTCGAATCTCAATGTATTTTACAAGCCATTATTGAAACCTCTAATAAACAAAATATTCCTCGACATTCAAACGCGCGAGAAGCACCACCCAGCTATCGAAAGCTTATTTATGTCCCTTTGTGAACGTTATTGTTGGAGAGAGATGTTTGAATTTATTTTTATCGTCTGCCATGTATTTCAATCTGTTTTTCTGTCTTTATTTTATGAAGCTAGGAGAGCCAGTTTTGATGACCTCAATATTTGACAGCACTTACATATACGAGCACGTGTTTCCACGGATGAACCATGTCAAATCTCCCGTGAGATCACTAATTTCTGACAGTCATATAAAAATTCGCTTCGCATTGCAGCATCGTTCATCGCACCGAACATTGACAAACTTATTGGATTAAAGCGGCGTCATACTTGACATTGAAATATATGTATGTGATAAAAATTTTGACTTAACTGTATCTTTGTATTTTCATTATTTTTATAATTTTGATGTGAGGTTTTTTTTTTCATCAATCTGTAGACGTTGTAATGAAAACTAGAACATAACAACCATGTCAAGTGGCCCGCGCAATCATTCGTAAATTAAATGTGGCCCTATGGCCAAAAAAACTGGACAACCCTGCTTTAGATGAACCTTGTCGGATTGTCGGCAAATTTCCATCGATCGCAAATGACGATAACAAAACAGTGGAATCAAGATTCGTACATTGGATTGAGCCTAGAGCACCAGTCTGTTCAGCAGTCAAAATGACTCAAGGAATCAAAATTCTTTATCAGTCCGCGGACATTCTCAAAGCAGATATTTAAGTCAGGACATGAAAGCAGATTTTTATTTGGTACGCAGATCACTGCATAGCCTTTAGGCACATTCATCCGAAGCTGTTAGACTAGCATACTAAAAATTTGATATCATCCGCGGCGGAGGGACAAACGACTTGTCAACGGGTGTTTTTGGTAGATATTCTATTGTTACGGCGACCACCGCCCAACCCACAGGCTCATCATTCCAAAACTGGTAGCCTAGAGCAGGGGTTCTCAACCTTTTTGTGTTGCGGAGCCCTTGAAAAGGTTGACTATTATTCACGGAGCCCAAAAAAATGTTAAAATTGTTACTTTCCGATTAATATTCCTGAGTAAGTTAAAAGTACTTTACTTAATTTAAACTGTAAATTTGACACTTGGCAAACATATTAATAATAAGGGGTCGAATCTTTTCCCTTTTGACATTTTTGGAATACTTAATGGGCGCTAATAACGTTCGCGATTGCATTTTGTTACAAATGCGGATTGTTTTCGTCAGCATGGCGTGTTTTTAAACCTTAAACATCTTTACGCCGGTGTTTATTCTCCCTAAATCGAAATTTCCTTTGGCATATACATGTATTGTTCCACAATGACGACAATAATTGCTTTTTTCGTTCTCGTGGGAAATCATGTGGTCAATGTGAAAAACATATTATGGTCATCGGCGACGAAATGCTAAAAATAATAATTAATGAAGAGGTAAATCCGGTAAAAGGTAAACTCAAATTTCTTGATTGAAAAGCAGCATTCTAAAATATTAAAACTAAAACTTAAAATGGAAGATCGCTTTTATAAAATTGTTAATCACAAAATTTGGTGTTATGTTAGGTTTTCTTTGGTTATTCATCGTAGTAACTGCGAAATCGAAACACAGTCAATTGTGCGCGCGATGTAGGCTACCTTTTTTCATTCTGAAACTACCGACGGAGCCGCATGCAATAAAAAAATTTCAATCGTTTGTATTTTGCCCAGACCTTGTGATTTTTTAAACGCGATATCTTGCCCAAAAATAATCTCGAGTGCGAAAGAACAAATCAAGTTTGACAAATCACAAGATCGCAAAAATACGACTCCAGTTTTGTTTAAAGTTATGTTATTTTAGAATAGTATTCTTTCATTTTAGTAATCCTAATAGTAATCTCGAATCAAACGTGAGTAACGATGAGCACAAATAAATTACAAGAGAGCTACGCCCAAATATATGGACACGTCTGTTCGCAGTACAGTACGGTTTACCGTACCGTCAGATCACAGTCTACAAATATATTCACACCAAGCGAAGCAGTACAGTAGGACACAAAATGGCGTCCGATAACCCTAGAACGTTTAATGACGTCATAGCAAACAAAAACAAGGCTCACAGAGCTAACAGAAATATTTAAAATGAATAAAAGTATTAGCCTTCTGGGGAACAATTTTATCTTCAACCACTGAAAATTTCAAAGCAATTGGTCCAGTATTCGAAGAGAAAAGCGGTTTTTTAATATTTCCACTAGGTGTGTTATTCTGTGTCAAACAACAAGAACCAGAACAACATAATATTGAAACGATCGTTATGTCCACTACGTGTCCAATAACCACAAGACACTTTAAAGGCTCGCATCGGTCATGGATTGAATATTTTACGCAGCAGAAATCTCGTTATCCTTTTTAATCGCGAAGAATGTTGCGCGGAAATTTTGAACCCACCCCTCCTAAGAATCCTAGCTGCGCTCCTGCTTATAAATAATGTCATTTTTTAATTCCGCCTCTTTGCCATATTTCGAGGCTATATCACACTGGTATTGCTTCTTTGAACAGTTACAAAATTAGCCAAGCCAGTATTTTGAAAAGTATTCGAATAGCTCGCGGAGCCCCTGGGTTTCTCTCGCGGAGCCCCTGGGTTTCTCTCGCGGAGCCCTGGGGCTCCGTACGGAGCACTTTGAGAACCTATGGCCTAGGCCTAGGGGACTGACTACAAAGTTGGATATCCGCTACCGTGAATAGCAAAAAAAGTAACATGACCTGACATTGATTTGCGTGTATCAATCTTTACACCATAATATTGCTTTTTGGCAGTTTTCCTGTCATGGGGGCTATTACCCAACCCATTTGGCACCAATCGTTGCTACAACCGCAAAATTTCGTTAAAAACTGGTAGCCTAGCAGATTACAAAGTTGATATCTTGGCTGAAACCGCTTATATCAGAAATCAGTACTATGAGGTTTCTGCCTGTCATTAGATTGTATAACATTAGGGACAATGTATATTAACAGAAGAAAGCACAACACACAGATATATTGAGGAAATAGGGTAAAATAAAACATGCGGAAATCAGAATTATAAGGTTTTTGCCTGTCATTAGATGTTATAACATTAGGAACAATGTATTTTAACAGAAGAAAGCAACACACAGATATACCGAGGAAATAGGGTAAAATAAAACATGCAGAAACACATCTTGCTATTACGTTGGCTTCAGTACAAATCATATAAAACACATAATAACGCTTTACTAAACATGCAATAAAAGTGCCTTTCGAGCTTATCTTGATTGATCCTCATTAGGCAAAACCATTGTAAACAATATAAGATAATTCTCAATTAATCCTAATACTATTTTATAATACTATGTCGTGTACTACACCATTTGTATTAAATACACTCAGTATTTTCGGAATCAATCAAGACGTGAAGAATATTTAAGTTTTGGTCCTTAGATCTCTTTGCTCCACGAACGCCGCTCAGTTCGTGTCTCATCTTTTAACATGTGAGAGCCAATATGTTGTGGTGGCTAATTTTTTATCATAAAGTTCAAAGAGCATCGTCTTGTTCGTCGGCACTGCTTTGCGAGGATTCGTCGATGTCTTTCAACTTGTCGGATCTAGTGTCCAAGTGAGCATCTCCGCCTAACGTACTTTGTGATGAAGTTATCGTGCCGTCATCTTGTTTTTTTGCGACACCATTTTTGTTTGGAGAATCCACTTTCTCATCACTGAATTGAAGAAGCGATCCGAGTTCACGTTAATGTGGAATGACTGAAATACAGAATCACGATTATTGTTTCTGCTTTCCTTTTCATCTTTCGCTTCCATGTCGACGTCTTTTGGTTGCTTTTCTTGTAAACTCGGCGTCGTCTTTGTAGAGGAAACATTTGGCGATTCTTGTGTTAGAATAGTTCCCTTTGTCGTGGTGTTACCGAATTTTGTATTCGTTGCGCATGAGGTTTTTGTGCTTCGAATCTTGCGCGTTTTATCACTGGCTCTCTTTTCCTTCGCTAAACTGACGGAACGTTTGATTTTACGATATAGTTCAGCTGTTGCCTTTTTGAAATCGCGATTTCGTGCACTATAAATAAAACAATTCCATAAACTGTTTGACATAAGAATTAAAACTGCTATGAAATCGGCTGAATTCATAGCTGTGTCTGCCCATTTACTAAACGTGAGAGGGTGAACTGGATCTATCTTTTCAATAGACGATGCAGTTATAGATGTTATAGTTGCGGGTAGAGCGCATGCAGTAAAAACTCCAACAATAATGGATAACGTTACGGTTAGTCGATTTTCTGCATCGCTTTCGTTCTCTTGGCTGACTCCATGCATTGCTATATTTCGTCGTTTCTTCGCTTGCTTTTTCACAGTTACATATACCATGATATTTGTGATCACAAGTAAAAGAGGAATCAAAAATACTACAATGTATAATATTAGCACGTATTCGCCACTCATAGCCAGTAACATGGTGGAAACCAACCCATATCGAAGATTAGACATCAGAGGTAGTAACGAAAAAATTATAGCTATTGCCCACATTGCCAGGGACAAGCGAATAGCAATTTTCTTTGCACGATGCCGGCGGTACTGCAAAGGTCTGTGAACAGCCAGCAGTCTGTCAAATCCTGCTAGCATAAGAGTGTAAATTGACACGAGGAAAGAAATAGTTGTAACGCAACCAACTGCATACAGGTACGGTGTGTCAAAGACTAACTCAAAAAAGCCAGTCGTTTTGTTCACCGTTATTCCATCGCGACCGTGCATAGGTACTTTCGTCCAGTCGATCAAAGGATCTGAAATTTCCGGCAATTTTAGATGATAGACTTCTCCCATCTTCGCTGTACCGAGCGTTATTTTGGACAAACTAACCGCACATGTTGGAAGAACAAAAACTCCAATCAATAAATCCGCCGTTGCCAACGATATCTTGAACACAGCCTGACTGTTTTGCAACTTTGGTGTAGTGCTAAATACAACAATAACGACGATGTTGGCCACGACGACAGCAATTCCAAGTAAAATTACTACCAACATCATGATCACGAGATTCGCTTTACACCTAATTGAATAAATAAGTGAAATTTAATATTTGACATTGTGAATTCCTTTTTAATCTATTATTATCTCTTTATGATGGAAAACTATCACAAAAGATCTATATTTTCTGAATAGTTTAAAATAAATTATTATCATTGTGCGTAGTATAGCACCAGAATTACTATTTATAGAGTACTTTGTCAAAAGTAACTTTTCAAGTATTCGGTTTTGCTAATTCTACCTTTACAATACTATTACTAGGTATTTTGATAATTTTTTTACTCACCATGATGGCATACAGTCGTAAATTCGAAGTCCACCTTCTCTTTCAACAGCAGATTGAGAAAATCCACACCAAACCATTGTGCAAAACGGAATATTCGGTGTCATCATTTCCAAAAAATCTCCAAATCCACCATGTGGTGGTTCAATCTGAGCGGCTTGTATGCATGGTTTGACTAGATCGTCTATATCGATAGTTGCCGGGTCAAGTTGGGCAACGAGATTATCCCAATCCGTGCTTACATCCCCGCTTGTGGTTGTCTCGTTTTCTGTCGTCATAGACGTCATTGAATAACTTGTTGTTAATGTCGACTTCACCACCTTCTGAACCACGGGTGTACATTTCTTCTCCAATGCAGTTTTATTGCAAAATTGATCGTAGGTTAGTTCCAAAAATTCATTAAAAGCGTATGGACGGGTCTGACACTCTTCTTCCAACTGAGGACATTTCCATGTTTTCAAAAGTTCCATGTGGCGCGTAAGGTAGTATCCCGCATAATACCAATATTCTTTGAATGTCGGCACTTGTAGCTCACAACAATACATCTCTATCTCCCTCGAAACAAGTGGCAAACCTCGAGAACAGACGATTCGAAGCTGTCTTATTTGTTCTTCAGTCTGAGCGTTTGTTCCGTAAAGTACGAGTAACGTGAATATTATTCCAAAAACTGGTCTCATCGTTACTTTTAAGCATTAAAAACTAAGAGTGCATACAATATTACTGTAAAAACATGTTAATAATATTTAATAGAAGCAAACAAAAGGACACAATGAGTTTTAAATTTCACGAGGCTAACATGAGATATAGAAACATCATTACCAACACAGCGAGTCCAGGGCGTTAACTAATATACCATTGTACATGAATACGTATAAGAACAAATTATGATTTCCGCTAAACATAGGATTTGCGGCAATTAAATTAATCTAAATGTTTCATAAGGGTCGTTTTCAATTGCGTCACCGGCGATTATTTGCTTAACATTGTTATTGTATCCATGTGTTACATAACGATAAATACTTTTAAGACAGAGAAGTAACACTTTTCGAATGATTACTTCGAATGATAGTTAATCACAAAAAAACGAAAATCAAATACTCAACATGAAATTTTCAAATATTTTGACAGTCAAAATGATTAATACTGAAATTTCTATTAAGGTATTATTAAATCGTTATATTAAGTATATAAATTGGGTTTTCAGTTCTTAAACAGATTATATCACTTATTCTGGCAAGCGTAACCTAGTTCTTGGTTTAGAATTCATATGCACTACAAATAGCTATTCCCTAAAGAAAGTCTTTACAATGTTTCAGAAGTTCAAATGTTCAACCTTTATACATAATACTATAGCCATTGCTCAGTAATTTAGTCCAGTCTTACTGGCGCAATTTAATAAATTTGATAGGCTCGTGCTGTGGAAAATAGAATTTGAAATTGGGTTTCAATTCATTGAACGCCATAATGCTTATGATGAATTGAAGTTTGAAGAAAAATATTGCTAATGGACTGGCCCTAAATTTAAGATCATATTAGCGTTTATTTTTAGGTCAAATAACAGGAAATCTCAATCTGTTTCAATGATTAATTATAAGTTTGCACGTAACATTTTTTGCTTGTTTTATTAATAACTCATGTTTTGTGTTTTACTATTTTCGGCTCATAATTAATTAATTTTCTAAATTATATAAAATTTTTAATTTAAGTTGTACTTTAATTTCTAACTTCTACCTTCCGCGCTTTCCAAAAACGCTTATCTAACCACTGATGTGATAATATTACCAGATGAAAAATCAGCACAAATTATTCTTGGTATATCATATTGGCATCGTCAAAACACCATGCAATGCCTGCTGTTTCTTTATGAACGTTTACGGTCGTAGCACACACAGCACGTACATATTACATATATGGAGGAAGGCAAATAATTCCATGTATCAATTTATGTAAAAAAGAGATTATACACCCAATTCCACTGCAACGAATACCGTTAGTTTAATTCTTTCCGTTGCACAGCTTTACAATAAACCTTACTAAATTTTGTTAACTTTTAATAATGGTCTCAAAATATTTTCATATTCAAATGATATCACTCCACCTGTCTCTTTTCATTGGCATAAACTATAATGATACATATTCATGACGATTGAAAATACACGGTTCTGTCCACACGAGACAAAAATGTACTGATACACCACATCTAAAAGTATATAAATAATGCTGCAAAATACCAAGAGTCAGTATTTATTTATTTTTCGTTTCTTTTGTTGGCAGTTTCGGTCAGATTTTTGGTGTTTCTACGCATCACGTAAGATCGAAAACACGTGAAAAAATATTGCACGATTCAACTTGGGAAGACTGAAAGCATTTTCTCCCAGTTGCACATTTTTGTGCAATAGAATTGACTATATTAAATTTTTTTTTTCATTGATTTCATATTTTAATCCTAAGGAGAATAATGTAACCACATACTGATATATTTTATACACTCTCAAAAACTAATTATAAATTAAATTACATATGTTATGGAATAAAAATAATTATATTCCAAACAACATTCAATTATATTTTACGTTTATTTGAAATACTAAATTGAAAATAAATATTCGCGTATGAATTGAATGCATTATTCGACTTAACTGATACGCATGTATCAAACGAAGAATGTATCGTTTGCTTGCAAGAGGCGGCCAAAATCCGCGCACTCGATCTTGTATAATGTGATACTTCTAAAGATAATATTTTAAAGAAAAGTAACTAAAATCTTAACCGAAATTTATTGTGTTGTTTTTGGTACAGTACCTACGAGAGTTACTTTATTTCTCCTTTTTTATTCGATCAATGTTTATTCTAAGAATATTAAAACGGTTAATCTCACGGCTCATTTTGTAATGTGCAGAAGAAGAAAACGATTACTTATGAAAAATAATCTTATTGTGAGTCACGTCTTGAAAGCACTGTATTAACATTCTATAATTAGAAATCATTGAAGGTATTTTATCAGTGACTAGACTTAAAATCAATTGTTTTGTCCCTAATTGATCAATTAAGGCTTAAAGCCTTCGATAATATAGCTTGAAGCTTTGATAATTATTATTTTGGCATATTTTCAAACGCGTATTGATTCCTATTAGAAATCATACTTTATATTTTTTTTAATTTTATAATGACAAATACAAATCTTCATATTGTAACAGATTGTTCCCTTTCCTGACATTTTCCCACCCCCATTCCAACATTTCATTACGTCTATCTTACGGAGACATCTTCATTTGACTGCCAAGCTCAACACTTACGCTCTTATATACTGACGCATCTAAATCAGATAAAAAATAAATCTATTTTTCGAATCCTAATTTCATCTGGAAGGATTTCAATAATTAATTTGCTGGAAATTTGCATAAAAAACGCATTTTCAAACTAATAATTTTGTGAGATTTCTCACGCAGATTTCCAGCTCTAAATGAATGAATCATTTGTCGCATTTTGGTTTCAAATATATAAATTTAATTTTGGATGTATATTATTATACCTGTTGGACTATCGAATCGTATACTCTATTTCCACATAACCTAATCCATTTGTTATGGGGAATGACGAAGCAAAAACAAAGTTCCGACCGATACCTAGCCTTTTGCCCGTTTAGAAACTCCAATTCAAAAATATTACAAATAAATATTATACAAAGTAAACATTTAGAGCTTCACACCAAACTCGGGGGCAAAAGAATTGTATTTATCAAAAAACAGCTACACCATCATGCAGAAGAAACCAAATATATACCAAATCTCCCCGATGCACACTATTCATTCAAACAATCCCGACTAAGAACTTCTTATATGTCATATCTAAAACTATTAAAATACGCATGCAACAATAATTTTCTGCTAATTGTCTATACTTTCTCCATTTACAGCTTTGAAAGCTTCTAAACTAGTTTGACGTCATTTGATAATGAGGAATCTAAATTTGGTTGTGAGTTAATGAAGTTTTGTTGTCTCCGTACTTGCCAACTTTCTTTAACATCAAGTATTTTGGCATACATACGTCTAATTTTTGCATATATCAAAAATATATCTAAAAATAGATCTGCAACGGCGGTGAAAACTTTCCAATAACATTCAGATTGGTAAGAAGAATGTCAAATTTAAAAGTTTATACAACTACGTTCATGACTAATTCTAACTAAAATAAATTTTAATATGTCTAGGAAAGTTCATAGTTTTCTAAGTTCCACACTATAAAATATCGAGTTAATGATCTAATTTACAACGAAGCTCCTAAACGTACAAATGCACATAAAAAGTGTGCCCAAGACGAGAAAACGTTTTGATATAAATCATCATCCAAAAAAAGCCTATGGCTAAATAAGAAGAATCTCATTGAAGTCTCATTGAAGTATCAAGAAAAAGTAGATTGAAGTATGACATTACCATGACGTATGCATGAAACTTCTGTGTGTATTAAGTAATGAGAAGCGGATATGACAAGTAGTCATGTGGTTATTTCATGATGGAAGTTTAATTGAAATGAATAGAAAACAACAATTGAAATTAATAAAATCATGTTCAGACAAAAACACAAAGATATCGATTTAAAATAAAATCATACAAATTGAAAAAGAATCAAATTCTAATTTTAGGAACAGAACAATCATACACAGCCTAATGTATATTCAAAAATTCAAAAATTATCTGAGATTTTTATGTAGTGCGGCGTTAATACTGAACATACTTAAAAGTACATATTTTCAAGTTTATATATATAATTTACCACAAATCTGACTTCTGGTATGCGGAGTTGCTTGCTGAGTTACTACACAACTTACACCGATGTTGATGCGGTAATACGGACTGCTACTAATACAGTATAATAACTCGAGCCTGCGTACATGCTATACCAACCAAATCATTCTATTTGGTCTACACGACAAAAATCTTGAATCAAATGATAAATAAATAGTACTCTAGATTTGTAAGGTAAATTTCCTTTAAATATTATAAGTTGAGGAAAACTATTATATATATAACATATCAGCTTTGTATACACACCTACTATATGAGAAATATTCCATTGAACATTATATATTCCGCAGAAATATCACCACGTTCACATAAGATGAAAAAGTATTTTAATTCTGTTTCTACTTGTAGTTTGTAACTGAGTTACTTGATCTAGGAATTCTGAAATGCTTTACTAGCGCAGCGCATTGTTTGACAGCTTGCGAGGTATGTGATCTACTTGATTTAACGCTCCTAAGTGCAATTGGTGGCAATTATGCATGTCCAATTACCAATATTACCCATTAGAGTTTAACTCCCTTTTTGCATAAATAATGAGGTTCGTGCCAAATGCATCATCGTATGGCCCGCAAATAAATATTACGACCAATTAATTGCAAACAAATCACAAGCAGAAATACATTTGCAAAGCGGTCGCTGTGTAGAAGATAGCTATATAAACCAAGGTATAAAATGTAATCAAATACTTTGGTATTGTAATATCGATCATTATATGCTATTAAATCAAATATAATACCATGGCAGTTCACCGCCTAGATTAGTGGTTCTCAACCTTTGTTCTTCAGTGGTCCACTTTAGTTGCACAAAAAATTCTAAAAGAAAAACTACAAAAAAAACGAATTTTTTTTTACAAAGATAACACTTTCAGTTCAATAATTACAATGGGAATTACCACTCAGTAGCAAAAACAGTATCATCATTTATAGATAATACAATCAAAGTGTAAACCAATTTATCAATAAATTCAGCAATTTTTAATAGGTTTGTGGCCCGCCTGAGAATGTTTCTGTGATTCAGAATTGAGCCATGGTCCACTGGTTGAGAACCGGTGGTCTCTGGATGAAATCCAACGTAGTCGGCAACTACTGTCAAGTCGGACCTGCTGAAGTATGCGCACTAAGATGGCGCACAACCTGAACTCAGTTGTGTACCATGTCAGGGTTCAGCGACATCTTGGTGCGCATACTTCAGGAGGGCCGTCAAATCATATCAGATTCTACAGACAAATACTTCATTATCTCGTGATATAATAACGTCACAAAATTGATGTAACTCATTTATTTTTCTAATAATTTTTTTTTACAATAACATCTCTGCAATATATACAAGTGATAAACACATTATTTTACAAAAACATTCTTGCAACACTTACAACTTTATCGTGTGGCACCAAAAATAAATACTATCCGCCTATACGAATAAATAAAACAATATAATTTTATCCATTCATGGATTTTTTTTCGTTTTTATATACAAACGACCTTCGTTTAAAAATCCCATACATTAAATAAACGTGCGTTCCAAGTATGCAGAACTTCCGGTTGGCATTTCTACCTAATATGCCCATATGCCAAGCGTATAAGTCCAAGTTGAGCTTTGTTACACGCAATTTTTTTTTCCAAATTATTGACAGACCTTTTATTGTAAAAGCATATAATGAATATTTCACGATTTCCCAGGCTTTTTGCTACCTGAAATTATGCCACATTATGCAATATGTATGCATTTTGACAAGAATGTAGCTTGAAAAACACGGAATCACAAGATGAAGTTGCGCTTTACAAACGTTTTACTAAGCACATTTTATGATGATTTTGGCATGAAGAATGAGATAGACTAAATTATAGAGTTACTAACAACAAATCTCTGTCACGAACGTTCCTTCGAACAAATTTGAAATTATTTAATAAAAAATAATTAAATTCAACGCCTCAAACACTATCGATCAAGGTTACATTTCTTATGAGCAGAACTTATTTTTCAGACATCTCTAATTTATTTTTTTAAATCAATTCCAATCTACCATCTTAGCAGTAAAAATGCTTTAAACATGCTTATCTAATTAGTTCACCGACTCGCAATTTATTTTAACGTTTTCACTTGGCAGTCAATATGATGCATTGATAAATGCAACTTCCTAAAAAGGAGGCAACAAACGAAATTAAATGGATGGCAGTCTGTCAAGTATAATATCAGAATGATAAAAGCCAAATGTTGTCGTGCAATATTGGCTTTAAAGTATTCAAAGTATTCGACGAAAATATTCCAAGTTGGAAGTTGAGTAAAGTGTAGTTAATCATTTTTGTTTTGTTATTATCCTAGCTCTTCCAGAGATATTATTTTTGGAACCACAACTTTCAATAAGTTATTTTTGTGAAAGGTTGTGGGTTGGAAGTTGGTAGACGAGAAAAGTGTACTTAATCATTCTTCTTACCTAATCGTGTTTCAATCCGCATATCCGCATAGTATATATAATATATCTGTTTCAATGGGAAAGTATTATGTTTCAATATTAAATCTTACAACATAAACTTATCTTCAAAAACTTGTTGGGGTTAATGTACGATTAAAATAGCGTGTAATTTGTATTTATAAACTGATTCATACACACAATATTCAATCAAAATTGTATTTATAAACTGATTCGATACACACCATATTCAATCAAAATTTCAAGTCTTTAATAACCAAATAACAGATTGACTCTGTGAAAAAATAGAAAATTTTGATGAAGAGCCAATCATTCATAAAGTGCTTCATTCTTCTTTTCTTAGAAAAATCATGAATAATTCAATTCGATTATGATGTAACAATAGACACTTTAGTGTTAAGATATTCCCTGTTTTAGTTCAATTTAACTTTTGATAATAAATATTTGATGATAGACGCTAAGATACACTGGATCTTCAATAGGGCGTTGTATTAGATGCTTAGTTACATGTTTTTCGTACAAACATGTTGCAGGGATAATTCATTTTCTTGCTAAGTTGCGCCTTAACTTGACACGGCATGGCGAAGAAAGGAAAAGGCGATAAGAAAAAGAAGAAAGGGGGTGGTAAAGTGGCCAAAAAACAGTCCAATCAGTCAACACAGCAAGCAGGTACGCATTATATCATAGCACAAATAAATATTGAATACCTAATTCATTAGACTTTGGCTGTTATCGGTGTTGTAAGCCTTTTATAGTGGAATCTGCGATAGGATTGAATGAATTTCAATTGTCAGCTTTTATGCATACCCAGTTACCCACCCACGTCTATTACCCAGAATAACACGATTCTCCTTATTTTGGATAACCACAAGTGTATTTAGGTTTTCATGTACAAAGTAGAGTAGCGGTTAGGTGTTTAATGATATTGAATGCTATGCACAGCCGCGTATTACCTAAAACCGCAAGTTTCAACGTCAAAACCTTCTGTTTGACTAACGCAGTAGAGCAAACAATTTAGGATTTTAAATTAAGTATGCTTAATTGATTTTTCCGATGCAAGAATCGAAATATGAAAATAGATACTATTTGCACATGCAAAGTACTTGAATCCCATCAAAATTTGCGGAAAATAGAACTTCATTTGTCACTATCAAGTATTCCATAGATACTATATTACCCGATTTAATATATTTATGATGACCGATATCAGTCGATGCCAGTATGATGAGATATAAAATAAAACGATACGTAAGCATTTAAAAACTTAAGTCACAAATTTACTACCACAGGCAGTTTCGCTGGTAAGTTCAAACTGATTTCAGACTTAGATCATCGCCGTATACTTTGTTTCAATTAAACACGATACGTTCATTAATGTTAATTCTGTAATTTATGACTGAACATGCACAGTAACCATGACTTTCTATAGCATCCATATATTCGTGCTTTAATAAAATGATATATTAAACATAATATTGGAAAAAGCGTAGTAGCTACAGTCGCCATATTCCACCTTAATTAATAACCCTAATAATATGTTGGAATGGCCAGAATATTCTGCATTGACAAAAATGTAATAAATTTGTCTGGAGATAAAACGCAGCATAAGTAACAAACACAAACAGACACTTTACCATTCTTACTTTGTTAAAGTTTTTCATTCATCGCTTTGCTACGTCTCGTCTGAATCTATGACGCACGATGCACGTTGTTTAGTATTTAATAACTGGGTTTAGTATTTAGCTACAGATATCCACTCGGAACATGCAAACTATTTGGAGGGTGAGCCATATCGCTAATGGTTTTAAAGCAGAAGATCGTAACACAAGCAACACTAATCAATGTATTACTTTGTTTGGCAAAAGAAGCTTTAACACTTTTGGTAATGAGTTCATTTCAATTACATTATATGATCCAACAATAAAAGAAGTTGATCGATATACTTTAAATCATCTACAGTTAACCGTGAATAAGTGACATTAAAATTAACCGAACATTACATTAGTAAATACAGCGTGACAGACCGTTGTTTGGCAGCATAATGACACAATGATGGATTTAAAAATAGTCGGTTTCGGTTACAGGCAGACAGACAGTGAAACTCGATTACTACAATTATCCTGACTGATGAATGCAAGGTATATTTTTGAAAAGTCAAATAGATCGTTTAAATTCTTATTCCAGCTAAATTTTGTTATTCGATCTTTGTTCTTTGACTCATATACCGCGGTTCGGTGTTTCCCCATCGTCTCTAATTTGGGTCAATATTGATTGCTCTCGTTATTAGGGAAAAGTGTTGGTTATCTTCTAGTCAAAATCAAATTAGACTAATCCGCTAAACTAAAAATGCTAACGAGATAGATAGATTTTTCTACCTATTTCTAAACTTTGCGTTCCGCTCACCTGATTTGCTCGTTTGGGAGGTAATAAGAAGAATCCTGAACTCTGAATATAGAAAAGGTTTGAATAATTATCCTTCTCGGTCACGTCATTGACTAATATTCAACATATTTCATAGAAGAGTTACCAACTAGTTGGATCGTATAATAAACAGCAATGTAATGCAACAAACTTACGATGCCAAATCATTCAACATTTAGTATTACGGTGAATGATAATCATTGTAGATTCTGATATGTAATTTGTATGTAATAATTGGAGTCAATTATTATACATTTACCGGTGAGCTAATAACGACTGGCATGTAATACACATAACTAATGAGCGCTGTTGAAAGATTTTATTCTAATTGCATTAGTAGAAGATTTCTCAATTCATGACCACGGGTCTTCACCCTATTTTTAAAGGGAGAAGATTGTTTGAGAGAGAAGCTATTACGTTAAATGTTACATATAAATATTATAGGCTGCAATTACACAAAATCATGATAGGTCAACTTTTATGGATAAAAACCTATGATTTATGAGACTCATCCAGCTATAGTAGAGTATAGTATATCCGTGAGAAAATGATTTAAGTAACCTATTTAATTTAAATTAAAAACTATATTAGAACTGCGTTATATACACGCCTTAGTTACTGAATTAACATATTAAATTCCATGAACGCATTCATAAATCTCAATTATCTGCCTCTATAGCTACGTTGATACTCGCTTTCACAAGTTACAACCTCGAATAGGCATTCAATTCCATCCCTCGAGACCAGATATAAGTTTTTAAATAATCACAACAGCAATACAATTTAGAAGATGACGTATTTTGTTACTAAAAGAAAATGCACTACACGTTATGTTACAAATACGTTAATAATATTTGACAGTAAAAAATGAAAACTATGAAACAATTTATAATTGAACATTACTAATATGGATTCTAGTTACGAGATTACGTCAAAAATACACTGAATCATTTTGAACAATGCCAAAAATATTTTGTCACGAGTTGTTGTCACTTTATTAATATAAACCATACCCTTTAAACTTAAAATAAACACAACGAAGTCAATGCAATAAATTAATAAACAGAAGAGGGTATAGACTGTTCCATATTTAAACATAGCATTAATATATAATGTAAAAAAATCATGTAATTCTTACTACCCCCGACTTTGCTTGTTTTACTTTTCTAGTAGTTTAAATCATCCTCATAAATCCATTTATCAAATTCAAGATTAAAAACGTGCAGTCTATTCAAGTTCATATTCGAATGGAATTCTTGTTCCAAGAAATATGAATATTACGTATAAGCACGCAAAACATACATCACATCCTTTTCGTTTCCTAATCATACTAAAAATTAATTTGTTTAAAATGTACTCATTTATTGATTATTTAGAAGGTGCCTAAATTCATTAGACGTTACGACACGAAGATACACACTATGACTAATTTTTAAATATAAAAAAGGTATATCTTGTCTAAGATATATAGCTCTGTGTCGCTCAGCTGTTGATCCGTTCTTAAAATTCTATAATATTTACATACGTAGTAGACACCATTTCTAGATACTAATATTTGAATTTGGAAGCCTTACTATTTAGATGGAAACAATGGTATGTCGGACGAAGAACTAGCTAAACTTTTGGAATTAAAGAAATTATACTGGCAGGAAATGCATCGACAAGCAGTATTTTTGGATATGTCACACAACATGTCGAGGTAAGCGCACTTTATATAAAAAAGATACCGGCGTTTTTATCATCGGTATATACTCCATGCCTACAGGCTTTTATTTTTTCGCGATAGAATGTACAGTACATTTCGTGTTTTTAAAGTTTTAACACGTACACCTTACAATTAAAATACAAAAGTGTTGCGTCACGTATCATGACGTCACATGTATACATGCCTCGGTAAATATGGTTGTTTTTGGCCCTCAGGCGCCGTGAAAGCATTATTCCCGGACGTACGATTGTGATGCTTTCAAAGATATAGTGCGCGAAGATGCTTAAAAATTTATAGATCAGACGACTGAAAAAAAAAATTCTAAATACAAAAAGAATAAATTTATTTAAAATTAAAATCAGTGTAAAATACCGTGACGCAGATGCTGTAAATCTTATCTTATATCATATCAAAAACAAAAATGTACGCAGTCATGTTGATGGTAAACAACTTTTAAAGTATTGGAAATTCCATTGATTGAAATGTTGTTAATGCGGGAAAGAGACACCGAGCTCAAAAACAAGAAATGCGGTCACTTGAACATTGAATTTATTGCATTGATAAAAAAAAATCCTTCCTTGATTGTAAACAAAGTTCATGTAGGTCGTGAAATCTCAGTTAAATTAGTGTTTCATTGTCAGCATATTCTAGAATCTCAAAAAATCGTGGAAATTCGAGTTTAAGACAAATTGTAATGCATGGGAGATGACGGTATAATATTATATATATATATCTATATATAAGATGATGGAAAATATCAAAAATCACAAGATCGAAACTCAAATCGCTTCTCATTAAGCACAAATTATATTGTCTTTAAAGAAACTGTCAAGGTAGACGAAAAAATAAGCTGGGAGTTTTCATAGCTTTTAAGTCTTTCGACGCCAAATTTTAGCTTTCCTATGTTTCTTGTCGTTAATTGCCAAATATATCCACAAAATAATATGATCATATTTGTACAAATATTGCATGGGTAGGAAATATAAATTAAATACATATAAGAATATCTAATTTTATATATAAATAAATTGTATACTTTTATTCCATTGAACAAATTCATATTTTAGACCGTGGATTGAATCTTACTTTCAAGTTATTCCTCGACTTGTTTATGGAATTCCAATCGGTCCCAAAGAAGAAGGCGGTGGAGGTAAAGGAAAAAAGGGGAAGAAAGGGAAAAAGAAATAGAATTTTTATTTGCTATATCTACCGCATATGATTATTACTGTATTACATATCTTATTACCTCAGACATATCTTATTTTGTTTGTGAGAATTTCAACCATATCGATGAAATTTTAATATCACCCACTGTCTCAAGTTTCATGATAAATCATCGATGAAAATGGTTTATTTTACCAAGATACGTAAATAGCCGATTAGTGACTTCGTTTTGAAATACAATGCGAATCCGAGGGTCGGCATCTTCCCGCACCCGATCGGTGCGATAAGCCTAGCAAAGAGTTAATGAATTTGGACGTACAAACAACCTCAAGACAAGACAAGGCTTTATTAAGATAAGATGTCGTCAGACCGAACCAAAAGAAAGATGCAGAAATATTTCCATGAAATTTCGTAATCCCATTTATGTAGGAGTCTGAAAACGGTTTACCATGTCGGTCAATAACATCATATTCATGAAACTTTGTGGTATCTTAAGATAATTGTAGCGGAATTCGATTCCATGAACGACAGATAACAAATGACGCACATATTTCGGTGGTTTGACTATAGGTTTCACCCACATTAAGGAGAAAATGAGCTACACCTGCTTAGTGGCAATATGGCATGAGTTTATTACATAGGTAATATACATTTTGAGTTTTGGTCGTGGTTGACTGAATATTTTTCAGACTCTTAATTTAGTTTTATTAAAATTCAAAAGCAACTTGTCGGATTACTCAATCATGAATATTATCGATATAAGGTAAATATATGCGTTCATTCGGAACGGCCGTTCAATCACTATATATAATATCAACATTAGTCGAATGGAAGAACGAATGCAAACACACACACTCATCATACTTTCTTATACTCTAAATTTTCTCGCCTTCTGACCCCTTTTAATTGCAATACAACAAGCGTTTCGGATGTCAGTAAACAGCGCTAAGTAAATTTCAACGTAATTCCAATACAAAAAATCCAATACGAAAAATCTGTCCGATTCTGTGACCGCCTCAAGACCTCATGGTATAATTATGAATGCAACAAAGATGTCATTAGAGCAACTTTAATCTCAAATTAGAATATATTTAGCCATAAACGTACAAATATTTTAGCAAACGACTTCTAATTAAGCAGAAATCTATTATGATTGTTCTAAGTAAGCAATTAAAGCACTGTAATGCATTAAGTGTAATTGTTTTATTGTATAATTAAATTGTTTAGAATTCAAACATTGGAATTTGAAATAGCGGGAGTCCTATATTTATTTTATTGTTCAAATAGCTGGTCCTTCTGTAACATTCATTCGCCAGTGAAGCACGCGATTTATACAAATTTTAATAATCAATATTTACAGAATATCGGCATAAACACAGATTATATAAAGGCAGCGGGATGCATGGTATCATATTGAAAATGCAAGAATATCAACACTGCAATTTTCAAATCTGGAAATATTTCGAAAAAATAGAAATTTAGCAGCATTCTGTTTTACGAAAACTGAAATATATAACAACGAATCTAACTTTATGCAATAAAAACTGAATCTTATTCTTCAAAATCATACCTTGGATTAATATTGAAAGAAAGAAATTGAAAAAAACAGGTATAGAGTCTGGCAAATGATTCTGTATGCATAAGCTAAATAATAAATATTTATTTCGTCGTCGAAGTTATCTCGTATATCACTGAATAATCGCGTGTAGCTGCTGTTATATACATTTAGTATTGCTCTCATGTATGATGTACCAAGTCTTTTGAGAATGAATTTAAACTAATATTCTTTCTAACTGCAGTTGATTATTGGAATTTTAACGAAAATTCGAACTCAAAATTCGGGAATATATATGGAGAATGTGGTTACGTGGCGCAAACTAAAATACTCGTTCAAAGCTATCTAAGACTCCCAATTCAATTTCAAAGTTATGTATCTATGTTTTTAAGATATATTGTAAGCAAATAATCTCTCAACAGAAATCTGCTGATACCGGTATACACATTCCTTAAAGCTTCATTTATGCACACAAGCTCACAAATACGACAGCTACAGTTGCGGGTATGGTTCTTGAAAGTGTGATAGTATTTTGTATAGCATGTTGTAAAGTTATATGAAGGAACTTTGAAGTGTTCCTAATGATATCCTTATTAGTTCTGAGAACAAGTCGAATATGTAAAAGAGTATTAGTCCCCATGAACGGAAATCTACTGGGATTATTACTAATTGAATGCACTGGTGAACTAATGTGAACTGCATTCAACGTTCCTGTTAAAATACGTTTTTCACTCGTTTAATTAACGACCAATAAAATGTCATTTTAACGTGTGCTTCAGGTGGTATGTATAAGTATCAAATCATGCCTATATGAAATTATAATTAAGTTAGAAATGAAGCAAGATTTGATCGTCAACTCAGACTACTAAATTATTCACACTTTTAATACTCAATTTTCTTTTCAAATTTAAATATTACTACAAGTTCAGTTAAAAATAATCAATTGAAAGGTAATATTATATATATCACATATCTGTATTACTTTGCTGTAATCAATAAAACGGAAAATAATGTACTGCAATAAAATATTGCTACCAATAAAATTTTTAACCTATAGAATTAGAATTTTGGATCTCAGTTTGTACGTATAATAAATGAATTATTGCTGTTGCCAGAAGCATTAAAGCTATGTAACTAATTTATAAAGGCAGATAAGTACGTTAGATGTAGTATCAAATAGAAGTTAAGCATATTTATATTGCAATGACATACTCACCGCAAATAATAAGGTGATGACAAACAGTTCTATTAATAAAATAAAACCTTAATTGAAAGTGTTGAGTTACATTCACATGGCCAAATGATCACGAACAACTTCAGCTGGGAATATTACAGATATATTTCGTTGTTATACACCACCACCCGGAAAAAGACTCTCCATTTTTTACAAATTCCAAGTCATATCAAATTTTACACTGCCGAAGAAAAACAACTATTTTATTTCATTGAATCAACTACAACAAAATGAATCTTTGGTCAGATGTGAGCTCATTCATAAATATAATGAATATTATTTCCTGCTACTGGGCGTGATATCAAGCCACGACAAACTCATATACTTTGGTCACCAACTATGCGTTGTTGGTCGATGTTCAGACAAGCATTCGACAAGCTATGTATAATTTAAGGTTAGGCATTTCGAATCGAATAGTAAGTTATCCGAATCGGTTCAGACAGAGATTTCGAATCACCACCATCTTGTTTTTATTTGTTCGCCAAGAGTCGAGTTGAATTCCTCAATTTTTTTTTATTGAAGCCATATTTTTACAGTACAGTTCTGACATTATGATCCTTTTCCTCTCATAGTGAGGTTCTGGTGAGAAATGTTTCTTATTGTGTGTGAACGCTCAGCGAATGGCCTGAGCGATGGATTCTATGTTTTCAGCAATTTATGTGTCTTGAGGACCTAATACAATAAAAAAGTCACAAACAATTGCATATCTTCAAAGTAGGGTACTCGAGATTCGATTCGAAAAAAATATTCAATTCTGGAATCATCGGGCATTCGAAAATGCGCAGCCCTAGTAATATAATTTCCACGTATCTTCCTGATGACACGATTTTATTCGGAATATTCTTCAAGTTCTTTCGAAAACATTTCTCATTTGTGGTCGGCGATTATTCCGAAAACCTTGTTATTATACGAGAATGGCTAATATTATCATATGTATTGATTAGACTTGAAGTCGCCACTTTATGATTACAATCAAATAAGTACAACAAATTTGTTTCATGGTCATTCTTTCCTTACACATATATATATCCATTATGAAATTATATTAAAAAAATGGCAGCTCCGAGTATGTGATTACATCTCATTTCAACATTATGTGTGCATAGGACAATCATTTCCGCAACATTTGAGAAACTCTCGTATATATTTATCATAATATTCTGCAATTAGTTTATATCGCATTTGAAAGTTTTATTTTTGACAAAGTGTATCAAGAATAGAATTAAAGTTTAATAATAGTTCTAATATTATAAAAATTCCGTCATGTTCACATTTGTTACAAATATCCAAAATTGATTAGTAATCAACACTGAAGCCAATTGGCCAGTATCTGAAATTGTTTCATGGCAGATAGTAATTAGCTCAAAAGTTGACATTTTCGTCTTAGATTTGATCTTTCGTCTAGATTTGAGCTAATATTCTTCAGTTACAATAGACGACAAAACGGAAAATTTTCGATTTTGGTTCTCACAGAGTGCACGAAGCTGATAAAAGATAACTTTGGGGACTCTCATAGTCATGCCTTTTAAGTCTAATGCATTTCCAAAACTTTGTGTTATAGTTTTCTTCCAATGGTGTTATGAAATTTTAATTTAATACAAGCAAACGTTCAAAGAGTAAAGTTTAGACGATAATGTCAATTGTTAATGGCGTACATTATGTGTTGAAAACCTTACTGCGCGTTGTTATCTTAAAAGCCTATATAGAAGAAATAGGATATAGAGTGCTTTTTTTCTGACCACCCATTTGTGCAAATTACCATTCACGTCCGATTTTAACATTAGTCAAAGACAACTATACAAACTCAATAAGTAACTCCAGTATAAAATCACGAAAGCGCCAATTGCTTCATGCAGGATTTTAAATAGATTGCGTGCAAACTGTTGTAGGTTAACGAGGCAACAGCTGCCTGATAACAAGCTTGCGTTTGCTACAACCATGTAATTTTAGGTCGCAAATTGTTTTTCGTTGTGTATAATAGAGTTGAAAACATGAATTAAAAATTTATTATTGTGTAGAATATATAAATAAATCAGATATGGCGACAATTACACACGAGGGTTATTTCAAATTCACTGACGGTTAATTCGAATGACGTCACTTGAATATTAAACTGTTTTGAAACGTTCCGGATTTCAGTTCATGAAGTAAACTTAAGGATTGTTTTGCGATGCGAGGCCGTTGTTGTCGTTTCTGCCTTCAACTATAGTCTTTCAACCTTTCATATTCTCAGCAGGTAAATTCTGCTAATTTTCCATTTATACTACCCGGCCGCATTGTTGTGTATCAAGTTACATTGGTTTTGAGAAAAGTTAGGCAATTCCTTTATCAACGGTTTATATAAACTCTGAAGTCTATGGAAAATGGCTGGCTATAAAATTGCGCTCACTAGCTAGTTTGAGTTCCAGTATCAACTATACCTAATAAAAAGAGCTTTATATCAACTATACCTAAAAAAAAAGCCGCACAAAAAAACAGCACTTTATTTCCAAATTTAGCAACCACCCATTTTGAAGCTGTAATCTCAGTCAATTTGGGCTAGTTCAGAATTTAGATAGGAATGGCTCTAGATGTTACAGGAAAGGCGGACTAAATTACAGTCCAGCCGTGTTGCCGAAACTCTGAAGGCCGACGAATCTTACCAAGAGGGGCGAATGGTTCACAACCTGCCTATAATTACGTCAACGATGACACTGTGGCGAGTGATCAACGTGCACGCGAATAAACATCTTCCTCTCGTACTGAAACAATCGTTCTCGAAGGTGAGTTGTGCAGGAGACTACTTTGTTTCTTAGTTTTCTCCTTTGTAGTTTTTCAAATTACCAGACCATATGAAATTTCAGCCGAAGGATGTCGCGGACGAGCACTCGTCGAAAAAGGCCACTTATACATATCCAATTCGTACCGGTATATTATAGCATCGACTTGTCTTCCGCTTGACAACCATTCGGCTAGCCTACAAAATAAGTCCCGCTTTAGAGGACTAATATTTGGATCAGAATCATGCGAATCCTCAAGATGTAAGGCACGAAGATCAGCTACATTTACACGCTTGCTATCAATAGGATTGAACAGATGAGGTACTCCAGAAGAGCGTGAAAAGCGCAACCTAGCAAACCGGTTTAAAAAATCCATAGCACATGTTTCCACCAACAAATTCACAGTTAAAAGCTTAATCCAGTTAATTCAAATGTTAGGAAAAGTTTATAAGAAGACAGTTCAAATACTGCTAAACATTCAACAAACTTCAGAATGAGAGAAAACATGCTATTTAGGGATATGGACAATGAAAGATCGGGATTTAAATAATACAGACTTTTCTTTGCATCGTTGTCAACTGTTAACAGTTTCTTTCGAATTTTAGCATATTGGAAAAGGAAATATCAGCTATCGAAGTTGAAGAAATAAGAGTTGGTCACATGATTAGAATTCTGTGGGCGTGTACGTTTGCAGCCTCCGTTGTTACAGTTGGTTTTGATATCGGTACAAATTTCTGTTGGTCTGTTTGGGTTTTATGAAAAATGTATTTCCAATGTCCATGGTCCTTTCAGTATCGGTGGAAAAATAAATTACTGATCGGCTTAGTTAGCGCGGGAGGTAACAATACTTACCAGCCCAGTTACCAATGAGGAATTTTATGTCGCACGTTTACCTTCGAACCTCATCCAAAATTTTGGCAACTTTTCTAAATGTCTCCCTCATGTGTTCGTCTCTGCGTGTTATTATTTTTTGTACCATAGCAGGGCAAAAAATAAATTATGTCATCTAATTTTTAGCCTTTTGAGGAGCATTAAAAATAACGACACTGTCACTTGGTGTATCTGGCTCTCCTTTACCTCCATCAACGTCAGAGCCCTCGATTTTTAATTTTTCTTTCAGTTCTTGTGTATAAATATCTAATAATGGAACAGAATCATGAGCTCCAGATTGTTTTTCTTCGTACCATTGTTTCCACATTGCTTGTTCAAGAGTAAGTCCCACCCATTCTGCTTCATCTGCCGGGATAATATATTTTTTAAATTCGTTATAAATTTTTTCTCGTTCATCTGCGTCATAAGGATACATCTGGTCTTTATTGCATAATTGAAGCAGCATATCCCGTTTCAGTTGTCCACCCAAATTTGAACATAGTTCATTTATTGGGGTCTGAAAAGGAAAATGATCTAAATGTAGGATTTCATACACATTAAAATTTCTTGTAATAGATTTCACTACTAAAACATGATATTTACCACCAACTAACAAAAAGTCTGATGGCTAGGAAAGTGCTGAAGTTCAATAACTTCTTAAAATCTTGCTTGGTCAAGAAAGCAGTACTTATAATTAATGAATAACTGTTTACTTAGTTGATAGGATATATGTACAAAAGTGGCCAAGTATATAAAAACTAATTTAACCTATGGTTTCAGATTCAATATAATCCTATTGCTGTATTAGGTAAATTATTTTTGATTAATTTCACCGATACTTCATTCTCGAATATCACATAAAATTGTGCTAATAAGCCCACAATATAAAAAAGTCGATATAATCCAAATTCAACAGCAGCTGTTTTGCTCTATGTTGCAGAAGTGATATGTCACATCACCGATACAATACAAGAAAATAAGCAGCAGATCAGGTTGGCTGTGGTCAAAAAACATAACATGCCTTGAAAAAAGTCTGTCTACAGTATACAACCCTAATTTTGTAATAAAAAGCTGACACTTTCTCCAAAAGAAGATAAATATTCATTGCATTTGACACTATCAGATGTGGTTTCTGCAATATTGAGTGAGGCCCTATTTTTAATAACTCGTACAAAATTTCGTACCTTCAGAATATAATGGTCAAACCCATATGCAGCATCAATTAGATCCAGTGTCCTTGGAGTAACAGTTGTTTTGATTTTTTTATTGAGTATTTGACTGTGAAATGATTTCTCAAATGTATGAGGTCGCCATTCTCTTTTAGACCCAAGCGCAAGCTGAAAATCCAATCAAGGTTCAATGAAAAGCAAAAATCTGTTTCGAGCCTATATATGAAAATGTAGACGAGTTGGCTGATATATCAACCCAAGCATCGAATGCGGGATTACAAAAAATAACTAGTTGTTTGGTGAAGTCATGATCTCAAGATATTATGCATGAAAAAGTGAGAAAAAAAAACAGAAGTTGACGTTTAAGTTATGTAAAAATTCAAGTTTTTACAGTCTCAGTAGAAACATCCTCAACATCACAACCAAACTCTTTGATATATTGAAAATAAAGTTAATGTAAATGGGCCGCAGACACTCACTCGTACTTACACATCAGTGGCAAAGCAACCAAAGAATCGAATGTGGCCTACAAGCACCCAGATGCGAGCTAAAGCACTACTGATCACCAAATTTTAGATTGGCCCAAAATTATAAATTAAGGGGATGAAATAGATAATGTACACTAAGAGCCAATTGCTGAAAAAGTTGTGATTTGCAATGAAAATGACACCTTAGCTGTATGCCCTGTCACTTGAATAGCCTAGTTCTGATCTGGTATACTATACACTTGGGTTGAATAGCACTGGCCGATACGAAACGAGAAAAATTCATTTCACTTCACTATCATTAGAAAAGGCAGTACACCTATACAAATTAGAGATCGATTTTGTAGTGAAGTTGTGTGATGAAAATTGTCATGGCTTACCCGTGTCCAATATCTCATTTTTGGTGGATATTTGCGCCCTTGCACGATTCCCTCTCCTCCCCACAGCCCTTCCAAAACTTCTTTTGTGTACCTTGCCTCGACCCTCGCAGCGCTTTGAATTTCAGGTTGTCCGCTCTGATTCCTGAACCAAAGTCCTGAAATGGTTTGAAAATGGAGCTCATCTCAATCCAACTGAAAAGCCACTTTTGCTATTGCCAATATCAACTTTCAATACCAACAGAGATGTCCGAAATGAATGAAGCTTCAGTATATTCAATATGTTAAAATTGATATAAAATTATCCAATCAGAAATTTTAATTACCTTTATGATGAGGTCTTTTTGTGGCCTCAGGAAGCTTCTGGTTAATAAGCGGTGGTTTCTTCTCAAACTCTTTTCTCCAGGTTTCTGGCAATCTTAAAGAAAATATTGAACTTGAACAGAGTTCAAGCTGACCATCAAAAGATAAAATCTTCATTATCAGTGCAATTTTACAAAGAATAATAACCGCATACAGACATATCAAAAATGGAAATGAGTTAATATGAAAACAAAATAAAAATGAGTTCAAATATGAAATAGGAGAAACAACTGCATATATCCCTATCCGAATGAAAAAAAATATTGTTATAAACAAAACATGGGTCCAGTATAGTTTGGTACCACAAGTACTTCCAGTGGGCATAGCATAACGAATTTTGCATATGTTATTCCTAACCCCCACCTGACTATGCCATCCGAAAATTACGACACTACGACGTCATCAACACGTCATAGGGCTTGTCAAAGTATAATTACGATCGCCCAAAATGGCATTTGCGCCGCTGATAACGAACTCGCTGACGCCGGCGATCTCTCTCCTTTGGGGATCGTTATGACGAAAAAACGAGAGAAATAGCTTGCTCGATTTCGGATGATCGTCTGCGCGTTTTGGACTACCTTCCGCATACTTTGGTGGGCCTTACTACGCCACTGTGACGTCGAAATGACGTAATTTTTCGGTGACGTAGTCAGGTAGGGGTTAGGATTGACATATGCAAAAATAGTTGAGCCAGGCTAACTAGAAGTGCATGTGGTACTAAACTATAACAGACCCCAAAACCCATTCCTGCATTCTGTAGTATCTAAAATTTTAAGTTTACCTCATAAATCCACATCTTTAATTCACATTTCATTAAAAAATTGGGTGATTTATTGTTGAATATCGACCTCAAGATTCTAGATTCATATCCCAAAATCCAGTGTCATCCTTTTGAATGTTAACTTTCATAGAGCCTAGTTCTAGGATTTACATATTTATCCCGGAGGAGAGGCAAGCCGATAAGACAACTTAATCGTATGGCAGTATGGTGAACCACGGCTTCTTATCCGGATAATATTCCATGTCAGATGGGTCTAGTATAGTTTAGTACCACAAGTACTTCCGGTGGGCGTAGCATAACGAATTTTGCATATGCTATTCCTAACCCCCACCTGACTATGCCATCCAAAAATTACATCACTACGACGTCATCATCACGTCATAGGGATTGCCAAAGTATAATTACGATCGTCCGAAATGTCATCTGCGCCGCCGATAACGAACTTGCTAAAGCCGGTGATCTCTCTCCTATCGTGATCGTTGTGACGAAAAAACGAGAGAAATTGCTTGCTCGATTTCGGGTGATCGTCTGCGCGTTTTGGACGACCATCCGCATACTTCGGTGGGCCATTTGACGCCACTGTGACGTCGAAATGACGTAATTTTTCGGTGACGTAGTCACCTGGGGGTTAGGATTGATATATGCAAAAATTGTTGAGCCAGGTCAACTAGAAGTACATGTGGTACTAAACTATACCAGACCCTGTCAGATATGGGGCGTTTCTTTTTTTTCGGATGCATGAACTTGATGGTGGATGAAACCGTAATCGACCAGTGGTTATACCAACAAGTTTTTTAATGATTTGTTTTAAAGAGGAACTTACCGATTATAAATTGGGAATTTCACGGCTGGATTATCAAAAAAATCATCTCTTGGAACTTTATGAATCTGAAATCCTACCCTGCCTTTGAATGCAGGTAGAGGAACTTTATAAGTCGATGGCCTAAAATAAATGAAAAGCAAACGTTTAGATATTGTTATATTTCTGAAATCTGAATATAGTAAGTTTTAATAGCAACAGTACATTCATTACCTGGGCATGATTATTTCTCAAAAGGTGGAATTAGAAACACCGATTTCAAATTCCCAAGATGACCTTTAATGCACTACCAGCAAGCGTATATCAGTATATAGCCTACAGGTACCGGTGATAAACGATTGCTTGTGAGTCGTGAGTGGCTCTCTATCATTGAGACCTCTATCCGCAGAAAAAGGTACACCCGGCGATATGCATTTTCAGACTCAAGATGTCATCACCTTGTGTTCCCAAACAAATAGAAGTGAAAAGTCATAAAAATAATAAGGTAAATTCAGTTCTTGTAATTTTTCAAGAAGTTCCTTAGTGAAATAAAAGAATATTTAAATTAATTTAAAATTTTATAGTAGCTTTATAACACAAGTGCGTAGAATAAGATAAATCAACAATCTCCCTCCACCATGCTTTGTTTTTGACAGTGTTTAAAGCAGGTGTTCCCAAACTTTTTTCAGGACGACTCAAAAGACAACTTTCAAGTGTCCAGTGCGCCCCCAGGTCAATATATATATTTTTCATGAAACTTTAGAGCTTCTTTCACTGGACTTTTGAGTTTGGTCATGTGGTGGTATTAAGTAAAATAAGCTAAAACCCAACGGTGATGTCACAATAAACACCTACATTTTCAATAACAAAAGTATAGAGTGATGCCTATGGGCCTGTTTTACATTAAGCCATGTTAAAACTGCTAAATTTAACATGATTTGTCAAATCTTAGATGACTTGTACATCCATCCTCTACCATACCTCAGCGACCCCATGACCTGGTTGCGACCCTACCTATTTATCACTCCGGCACAATTTGGGGTCGCGACCCCTGGTTTGGGAACCCCTGGTTTAAAGTGTGACAGCCTTTACGCCTTTACAGTGTGATTCTCGTTTCCACTGGATAATAATCGCGCACGTCGCATTAACAAAGAGAATTTTTTTAGCTACGGGCATCAGGGTACGAGACTTTAAAATGTGTAAGTCGAAGACAACGACAAATCCCCGTACTACGTGTTTAGTGTCTGGGTCACCTGCAATCCCGATAATGAGGACCTTGTTACGATTTTAGTACATGGGCATTCTTATAATCATTGAGATTGTTTAACACATTGACGTGTATGGAAAGATATTATCAATGAACTATTTATAATGGTGCGAAACTGTCACGTCTTGAAGACTTCCTGGTTTTAACTCTTGAATATGATAACAATGAAGTCTCTCCGGAATCAATTGTAGGGTCACATCGTTTGCAGCATCTATTGAAAAACTACGAATAGTTCTCAACGACCCGCTGCTGTTTATCATTCTCGTGCCTAGCAATACATTTTCTCATACAAACAATGTTCATTCCTGGGGTATAAGATGAATGATAGCAGGGCTACTCAACTGGCGGACCGCGGTCCGAATCCGCACTTTTCGAGTATTCGAATCGAGCCGCACCTAATTCTTCATTTTGGATCATTAGCTCCACTTTTGAAGTTTCCGTTTATAAAATGACATCTATAGTTTTGAATATATATATATTTAAAAACTATAATACCATAATAAACAATCTTGATGGGGAAGTGCGCGTTTAAGCTTGCCGAAATATAATTTCTGGAAAGACCGGACCCAAATAATTTTGAAGTTTTGTATGCGGATCTTTGGTAAAAATAGTTGAGTGGCCCTGGTGTATAGTATTGATTTTGCGCCATATATTTTTACAAACAGACGCAATTGGACTACATTCTCAGCTGTCAGGTAAAACTGGCAGATTGCTGACATAAAAGTCAAAAAGGGCCACTGTTCATTATCCGGTAGGCCAGAGGGTAAAAATGAAATTCAAAAATTATGAGATTAGCCTAGGTTGTAATATGGACATAGTTGACGAACGTACAGGCGGTGCCAGATGGACCAGGACACTAGTCTGCTGAACGTTACATTTGAAGTGACCATGATGGACACTGACGGTGCTTTAAAAATATTATTTTATTTCGATTAGTAAGTAAATGTACCTGGGTATTTTTGTTTTAATTTTTACCTTGATTTTCATTTTTCGTGCTACTATTATCGAAGAATTAGTTTTCCAACTATGTCTCTCGCATTACATGGCATAAATAGAATTAGATTTGTGTAATGTTTGATTTCTACTATAAATATATTTTAGAGAAACGTGACTGCATGTATTTATCTATCAGTGTTTGGTAGAAGGCCCTGATCCCCGAGCACAAAGTCTGGTCAATCACTGAATTGACTCACTAGCAGTTGGTGACGAGTCTGAGTCATTCTATTTAGATTACTCGAGCCTCCCCAGAAGTCGTTTTAATTTTACATATTATCTAATTTGAAATGTATCCACGCCTCTCAGTCTCAAAAATAAGGGTTTTACAGGTTGTTTGTTATCGCTTAGAAATTTGAGTGCTTGCATGATACGCACCTCCAAAACCAAGAAGAATGAATATATTTATTCGGAATGAAGAATAAAGGACTGAGAGAAAATATGAAGAGTTGTAGAAGAATCAAAATCATAAATTTGGAAATTCAGCAAAATTAATGACTTGCAAAGGGCTTAATTAAAATTTTATGGTATTGCAAACATGCTTTAAGCTGACCAGATAGTGATGTGTAGTCAGGCATCAATCATGGCAGTATAAATTAATTAGTAGGTTTCTCCGCGATATCATTACCTTGCGGTTTTAGATAAATCGTATATTATATTTTTTGTTGTAAAAGTTTGACTATGCATGGATGTAAATCTAGAAGTAGAATATGGTAATGTAGAATTTCTGCGACGTCTACTATTCTGTAAATCTTCCGGATATTTGAGAAGCCCACAACTGAGCAACCGTCTCATGTTTGCCATAAAACTCTCCCTGAATGATGCAGAACAGACACAGTGTAAAACTGGATTTGTAAACGCAACTAGTGCAAGGAAGAATCCATTGATATATTGTGAAAGCGAAATCCAGTCGTTTTCTGTTCTGAAGCTTCTGAAAATATATATTATAGATACATTTTCCATTCATTTATTTAGTTTGATGCATATTATATACAAACGCGCTTAACGCACTTTAATAAAATTGTGCAAATTTACGAAACAAATTCAGTGACAAACTTTAATCAATACTCAAAACAAATTCAATCGAAATTGTATCGATTAAACGCAGATGTTTGCAACAATAAAATCAGTGACTGATTGTCTAGTCTTATTCGAAGTAAAGGTGTGATAACAATCTTGTGTTATCAATAACATGATATCAACTGAGCGCTTACCGGTTGCTGTCCTTTAAGAGTTTATTTAAAAATAAGTCTATGATTTGAAAACGATATTCCAAATAAAGTTTTAAAGGCTTACTTATTTTCATCCTCACAACATCCTTGAAGCAGTAGCAGAATATGATATGGTAACCATTCAACGCAGAACATCGCCAATGCAAACGCTGTAACAAAATAAGCCAAAATAATTGAATATATCTTCAATCCAATGATATTTTTAGCACATTATTAGTGATATGTACATGGATCATTCGCATAAACATTTGTTCATTTTTATGAGCAATTTTGAGCTTCATATTTTGGCTTAGAACGATATAATGACGACAGCAGTACGTAAAAATACACACTCACCAAGATTCTGAACTGCTTTTATTCTATTTCTCCATAGCCAAGTAGGAACAACGCCATTTCTGTTTCTAGGATGCTTCGCTGCTTGTATTTGTTGACTTTCGTCATCACTGGCGGTTGTTGCTGTTCCGGATATCGTTGATACTCCGCTATCGACGGATAATTTTGACTCTACAACCGGTTTCACTCTGTCTTGAGTAACTCTCATAGAAATGATTCCTGGTGCGGAACTTCGACGCTCACCCTGATTTAAGGGAACCGCGGCAACAAATGAAATGGACGGAAACACCATAGAATATAATCTGTGTTGAAGTGTGGCTCGGCCGTTAGGTTCGCTAAGTGCACGTTCCCTATACGTAGATTTTTTTGTAGGTATAGTTTGATCATCCGCTGGAGATTTAACACAATTAGGAGGAGCAGAGAAACGAAGAGTTCTTTGTCGATTCAGTGGTGCTCTTTGACTATACCTTCTTAACTTATTCGTTTGTCTTGTGATCTTTGAAGTTATCTCTTTACAATGTATTCCATTACCATCTGGTAGTTTATAAATATCTTTCACTGAGTGCCGAAGACGCTTTACCGTTAATATAAACAACGTAAGATTAATTGTAAAGGGAGTTAAGAAAAGTGTTACGAATATAATTATAGGCCACCATTCAAATGGTTCCGAAACAAGACGTTGTGTGATCAAATTGGTTTTCATCATTGAATCTGCATGAAATATAAGAATAAAATGAATTCTAGCATAAATTAAAAGCCAAGTTGCAATTTTGTGACTACGAGGACATGGCCTTAGCATATTCTCAAGTTCATGGGTCATGTGTTATATTTCCAGTTCTTCACATGTTGCTTAAATTCTCAACCTCACTCTCATTTCTACAACTAAGGTATATTTTAGTAAAAATGAATTGCTTTTATCCCGGGAAAAAATAAAGTCAATTTGACGACTTTGTCATAAGGAATTACTAGAATATTACGGGAAAGGAGCTGGCCACTTGGACTTCGTGGTGGAATAAGCCTGCACTAAACAGTTTAAACTTGACCCAGTCTGTGTCTGCGAGGAATCCTTCAATTCTTTTGCACACATTTGTCACCGTGACGCGTAATTAACAGTACGGTTATGATATGCCAATACTTTATTTTCTCTCACCGTTCATTGTTGATGTTGTTATCGATTCAAATGGTATTGTTGACAAATTGCTCTCGCCATAATACAATCTGAATATATTAAAAGCGACATTTATATCCTAAATCGACTTCAACTTTACATGTAATTCCAAAGTTAAATTTGAATATTGCCATATATTAATGATAATATATGGCAATGATACTAACGCTTGAGAAAAGCACTTCAGGTGGCTAACAGGATTACATCTACGTGAACGTTTTTTCTTCATGTTTGCGTATCATTCACGATGATTACATAATATATATATCTCTTCATAACTAAACGTCTTCATTCAATTGGGAATCACATAAATTATTACAAAGAGTGTTTTTTATTAATATTCTCACCTGGTAGAATTGTTGTTTTTAATTTCTCCGAATAATCGCATTGCGTTTGGAACACAAAGGGCTGAACTGAATATCCATATAAGTCCTATAACTACGATGCATCTTTTCTTTCCAGCTATTGCTCTCATCTTCAATGGCCTTGAAAGTGCATTATATCTGGTGAAATCAAAAAAATTGTGTACATATTTTATTTTTTATGAGAGACAAAATCTAGTCTGTTTTTTATTTTTCAAAAAGTTCTGATTTCTGCAAGACAAAACATCTTCAGCATGAAAGTCGTATCACTCAAAACATGTTTTGCCAATCAAGTACAGATACAAGGATTAATGTATGACCAACTGCCATCTGGGATTACCCGCCCAGTTGATATTGCCCACAGCGATTCGTGTGCTGCACTTTCACGTGCCTATATTGTTCAGAGGCAGTTAGTATGACGTTCTGAATTATAATGAAATATACTCTAAAGTATTACAGATATTTATATATCGAGTGTAACACATTAAGGCAAATTATTATTAGGTTGGCTTTTGATAGCGAGTTTGAGAAAGAGTTTTTTCGATATTAATTAAAATCATCAACATATTATGTAACGAATGTTAACAAGCCTCTAAAAATAAATGACGGTATTGAATTTAAAGTATCTTGTTGTTTTCAAGGTACTTGAATAAATAAATTGGAAGAATGTCAGTCAAAAATAAACCGGAAAATATGAATAAACAACTGCGACATTAAGCTCCAATAACAACCTTCACTCTTGAAATTCCCTGGAGAAAGTTGAAAATAATGCGACAGTTCATCCAGTTCAATGTTTTTACTGTATTACCAATAACTTTGATTGAAAACGCTATTTACCATAGTTCAAGACAATTGATTCGGGAACCAACAATAATCTCCACAGGGCAATAACAAATCTCATTCCTTATTTATTGTCTAAATATTATATAAATAGATCACACCATAGTATTTAAATTAGAATAAAAAAAAAAATAGGAAATAGGGCCGATGACTGAAAAGTACAACAGACATTAAAACAAAGTTTAAATAGAGATCTTCCATTCTAAAAATCCTAGTTTCGATATATATTTATATTATTAAGTCGAATTCAACAACTTTATATTTGCAATTCAATTCGAGAACTATCTGAAACTTAATTTATTTCATTCATTTGATCTTTAATTTCAAGAAAATTCGAAGTTATTTGTTGTCCAAAATATGAATATTATCAAAATATAATTATTACCTGTCGATTGCGTTCATAACATCATGTCCTGTAACGGAAGCGTTTGTTGATATGATAACTTTGTTCATAAAAAGTCGCATTGAATATGTCACGTGATTACTTGAAATAACGTAAAGAGGAAACATCCATCCGGATATGCAAATGATGGCTGATATTAACAAACAGTTGCTCTGAAAAAGTAATATTCAACAAAAAGATTTGATCAATTTTACTGAAATTGCAATTAAATTAATTACAAGCAAATCTATGCCAAAAAACGGCAACTTTATTGGTATACCGCCATATTCACCGACGGGGTTGCGAAGGAAATAAATACAAATCATTTATAGATATTTCTGACAAATTTTTAATTTGATTTTCTATACAATTGAGTGTTTTTTTTTTTATATTTAAAAGGCAAAGAAAATAAAAAAAAATGGTCAAAATTTATCGCGCAATTTCTAGTGAATAAAATGAGTTTAAGAATGACTATTTTTTGTGAATTAATTCAAAAAATTTAACAATGTTACAATTCCATAGGAGTATTTTATCATTCAGTACAATTCTTTAAAAATTTATCTGACATATCGATGACCACATGAGACATATGATCTTCGTATCCATGTATTTGTGGCTTGCTCTCCTGTGTTTTGGTCAAATGCTTTTAATACATGTTCTTGGCAAAGTATGTTTTTCTATACATATACCATAAAATTGTTTTATTATTTTAATTGTATTTATTTCTTTTTTATATTTCATGCGTAATATATGGCATGTGCAACAAGGTTGCACACAATTATTCTGAATTTCCCTTTGGAATTTATGCATGTGCACGGACCCTTCTCCATTTTTAATCAACAATGCCTTGGAATCGATTTTGTTTGTTAATTAGTGAACACGAGATGTAATTAGACAATTCTAGTTATTAACAGTTGATGGTCATTGGTCTGTTGAATATTTCTCATTTAGATTAACCCGAAGTTTAGTTTACAAATAAATGGAAAAACGAATTAATCCCATTAATTAAACACATTTTAGATATATAATGCATTTTAGCGATCGCAAGATTGCACTGAAATCACATTCGAACATTCTAAGACCTATGGCAGTTGATTTCACACTATGGGAATAGCGATATTTCTTTTTTGAAATACAGACTACATTAACATCGTACGTACAACCAAATTGGTATATATACATGAAAAATATTTAAAACTTACGACTTGATAAAAATTTGTCACGGTGCAGAACCTCTTGTTTCTAAGTATAGTGAAAACCGAAAGTAGATTGAAGAATAGAGCAATGAACAGACCGAGGCACATCAACACGAGCAATGCAGTATTTATCTCGAACGATAAACTCAACATTTTTTGGGATGTCTTCTATGAATTGCATTGAAGTTTTAATTAACTATGAATATATATAAAATATATAGAGGGCGGACACTGTAAAGATAATTCAATTTTAAGTGCAAAATATAGACTAGTCGATTAAATTAATTGCCCAAATTCTGAAAATTAAACTTTATTGAACATGCTGGACGGAATACCACCCATACACAAGCACATAAGTTTCAATTAGTGATGCTTGCAAACAGTGGAAATATGTTTTCCCCCTTTTTTACTATAGTAAGACAAACTACGAATTTCGCTTATTGTTATCCCATTCTGTCGAGCTGTTTTAGACTCATACAACATTGTTCTGAACTCGGGAACATTAAGTATATTTTTAGTTAACGTAGCCGTATTATAAAACTCTCCTCGTGGTTTATTCTTTCGTGGTTTAACATGCCATCACTTCTCAGAATATTTATCATTTTATAAGGTTCAAGCTCAATTTACTTGAGCCCAATCGACTATGCTTGCCGACTCCCACAAATTTTACAACCTAATACGGCTTTTTCCAGTCTGACGTAGCATCTGCCTACAGGTATCTATATTTTTTCTTCGGCGAACGGAATGGAACATTATCTTTATTTAAATAAAATTGTTCTCTTTTACCCTGCATGCCTACGCCTAAAAATTCCTTGCAGAATACTCGCGGTTAAAATGTCATAGGCTTAAAATCCCTTGTGACCTCTGTGTAAGACGGGTAGTCAATAATTTATTCGCAAATTTGTCGACCCTATACTACCTGAGATATATATAAAATCTTGCTATTAAAAAAGGAGAGATAGACAGATTATTTAGGAATGAATAATTTGTAATATATCATGATTGTTCTATTCCCGTAACACTTCGATAAGCAAATATTTAAATGTACTGATCTGGCTACCATGTGAGGTAGGACCCTAATTAACTATGAAATATTCACATTCGGCAATAGACGCATACTGATTATGTTTATATTTTTACCACATCATGTATTTATTTTGCTATCTCATTTTTCAATCTTGATAAATTTATTTGAGATTACCACGATTTCACAAGAAATGTAAAAGGCGAGAGGCTTGAAAAAATTCCCTAATCGATCGTAAGAAGGAAGCGCCAAAAGCACTCGCCGGAAATAAAATAAAAAACTCTAAGAGGTTGTCAAAAATTTTACATAAACAATTCGAATGCTAATGCCTGGTGCTTTTGTATATTTGTGCTAATCGCCAACTCAAACGAAGGACTTTTATGCCCAAATATTTTACAGCAATCAGCTTGAATAAATCTACATTCTAAACGCTGACTTATTTTTCCCAATGTTACGAATATCTGGTCAGAAAACGTCAGGTACAGGTACATTCTGCTAATTCTCATGCATACTTAATAAAAATGCAAAAATGCAATGATATTTTTTTATGCTAACTGTCGAAATCATGTAAGACAATTTCAGAAAAAGGTATCGAGCGATGATTGTTTCTTTCGCATGGCATCATTGTTTTGAATGGAACTGCTTTGTGCAATAGAAAATTTTTTCTCGTTTTAGTATACCAAATTTCTATTCTAAACCGTTCTAAATGCAGTGTAAACGAAAATGAACATCCTTACCGTAGCCAACGATTTGATACAAACTATTCCTAAAGTTTGTTTGACTGTAGTTCACTTTTGACAATCACTCGACCACACAGATCCCAAAGATAAGTTGAAACCTCAGTATCAATAGTACTTTTGGCATCTGTTGGACCGAGCATAAATGAATTGCCCCCTTTCTCCCTAAGGCTACGGAAAATCAATCTGGTTAAGTAACAAATAGAAACCGATGCCAAGATGACTTTTATTAAATTTTCAATATGGCGCACCGGCTAGATTTTAATCACTTAGGTAGACCCGGAAGGGTTAATCAATACTTACTAATTTGTAATTTTAACGATGATTGAGCCAGATATCGGATTTTTTTGTTTTCTCATTAAAAGTAATATATATCACAATATCTTTACGTTATACCAAAATCATGCATCTGTGCAAATAATCTGCCTACTGAATATACCTATCGATGAAGTCTAAATTGGTCTAACACCTATATTCATAATTATGATTACGAAATCTTTTGAAATTCCTCAGGTATACCACAAAATGTTTGTATCGCTGTCTGATTCCAATGTTAATGCATTTTTATGACTTGAGATAAAAGAGATGCGAAGACAATATTCATTTATACAAGAGATAAAGGGTCATATTAAGTTCTCATATTCAATAATCACCTTCAAACAAAACTTTTTCATATATAATTTAAGTTTTATTTGGCGCATTAAATTTTTTCTAAAGTTTTTTTTACGTAAAAATCATTCTCAAATTTTCACAATTGTCAAGCTCATACTGTAAAGCTATTTGCCGAACAATGAAACCTTATTGGTATTTCCATTCTCAGAATGCATTGTCCCAATCTTAGAGTATTTCTGTTGACAAATTCACGCGCATTACCAATTCCGTATTCTTCTTACTTTTCTGGTCAGGACGGATTGATCCGGTAATTAGATTTAGGGAGGGCGAATAAATGCAATTACATGGCTGATAATTTTCTAACAAAAGGAAGATGGTTTTTAGCAAAGCAATGACAAGAGATGTTACGAAACATGTATCGTCCTGCGAGATTATATCGCCATTTTGCAGCAATGTTTCTGCTCAGCATCGTTTGCAAAATAAATAAAATGAGTTTGAAAAATTGTTTTCAACATTTGATACAACAATCCTCCCTCTAATTATTTCAAAAGGCTATGATTTTCTTTTATAAGTTATAACACAAACATAACAATTTGTAGGCTATTCACTATTCATCCAAATTTTTAACATAATTTATATGACATAGATTTAATATTTCTCAAAATTGCTGACAGAAGACGAGACAAAACGACCTTGAATATATATTGGATTCGCGAATTACTTACCATTACCCTTTGAACTAGGAATTCTTCACATAAAACCACGAAATTTCAATCAAGAAAATGAATTATTTTTTGATAAATTCCAATATTTCATCAAATCAAAACTCAAAATGCATAAAATTTTGACAGCACAACAAAGATGAACGTTGCTAATGGAAATAAATGAGCTCTAGCACTGTTTTGCAACTTGACAATATATTCTAAATCTGTGCCGTTCACAGCTAACGTTACACTAGTAATACAATTACAAATTTCCTGGCTAAATTACTGTATTCTAGCCTCATACTAAGAAATTGTAATCGTATAAAATAAATAGTGCTTTGCCGTATGTCTTCCACATCTTTTCAAAGGCAATAGCCCAACACATGCCCAATGTAAACAGTCGGGCACGCTTCAAGAAGCGCCATATTCATTGTTTCATGAAGTGCCGCTCGTTTTTTGTATACACTGTTCAAAAACTGGTATATTAGGTAGAATTCAATCATTGTTAGTTCATACCAAGTTTTCGTTAGTTCCTATATATACGTTAGAATCGTATTGAAAATGAACATACAATATCAATTTTTTGAAACTCATAATGAAAACAATTCGAGTGAATAAAAATATCTATTTGAGCAATTGACTGGCGAACGGCCCATAAAAATTAATGTCTGACTAGCATCATTCGTGAAAGGAAAGTTACCTGGAATTTTACAGTATTTGACAGTTTAATTTCAGGTATTGTGTTTCTTTTATCTGTTGTTCATTTTACTACCATTCATATGATATACGGTTTCAAGAATACATTTAATGATATTCTTGTCTTTGTTAAAGGCTGAAACCTGAGCATCTCCTCTTACAACTTATTGAATATTTAATAATATTCAGTTTATCTTTTTAACGGCATACATGACGGACCTGAAATTTATGGCAGCTAAGTAGGCTACTAAATGCCATCTTTTTTTACTGGTTGAAGTTGCTTTCCCGATACAGTTTTCCTTATTAATCTTAATTGTTTTTAACAAGGCATACGTAATTTTTTCATTATTTTAAAATTTAACCATTATTTTCGTTGATTTATGTCATAAACTTTAAGTAAAAGATGGTTTATTTAAATTACTTTAGACTTTTGAAAAAGTGGCGACAAAAACTGAAAATATTTTTATGTAATCCCATTGATATTGATTTTGCGGCAGCGGTAAGAAATTACTAATGCTTTTACCTAATCTGAAAGTATGGATATTTCGACGTTTTATGTAGAATAAACTCATGAGTTCGTTTTTTTGTTATATATTTTATATATATACATGAATTATTTTGTATTTTGATACGTCATTTTTTTTCTTTTTCTCAACACACATTTTCCCTCAGAATGGCCATAGAAAGCAGCATTTTTCTTAATATTCAGTTTTCTATTTTGTGCAACAAATAAAAATATGATAACTTATTTTCAAATTAAAACAAGAATACGGAATTCACATTAGACCAATATCATATGGAGCAGTGGCCACTTTTATACCACAAATATTGCATTCGTCTCATTAAGAGTGCATGAAGGTAATAAGAGTTAAACGTTTGCGATACTCATTATCTAAGATCTCAAGATATGGATTTCCAAGTTCATACTCAACAATAAGCTACATATTTGACATAGCAATTTAACCTGCAAAAATTATATAATTTGGATGAAGCATTAATGAAATCAAAAACTGCTAAAGTAACAGTTGGTAAACGAAGTTTCACTTTCCCAGTAATAATTCAAGTTTCTTGAATGCTTTTGTTTGGCGATTTTGTGCAAATTCTAGAAATAATTGGGTTATCTCTTAAACGCACAAAATATTTCTAAGCACAAATCTAAAATTTTGCTGTTTGTCAATTACGCAAGAAAAATTGAATGCGCTTTTGTGTATCTGTCATTCTGCATTGGTAATTATATTGATACTACATATTATCTCATTATCCAACCTCACGCTTGCCTGTACGAGTAAATAGATTTCCTTTTTTCAACCATTCTCAATACCACGAATAATGTACCAATGTTTGTTGCTCTATTCTAAAACATACACTAAAAAATAAATTCACCGTATCTGTATACACTATTGTCATTACCCGTGGCTTCAAATCAAAACGACCGCCAATTTTGAATGACG